GCACTACTGGCTCCATCTTTATTGAAGGTTATATTAAGAGAATCTTGTAAGTCTGAAATTACATTGTGCGACACACACATCCCTTGCCTTTATAGCATAAGAAACTAGGGAGGGTTCCTTCTGCGACATTAGCCATGACTTCATTCCTTCTATGGGCTCACTACCCCTTATCTGACCATTGCCTAATCTGAGGCTTTTCCTCCAGTCTCCAAAGCTATTACTACCTACCATTACATGTTGCCTTTTGTCTTTCCCTACTTTGACTTACAATGTCTTCATTTTGCATAACACTATTGACCACAACAGACTGTGATGGGTACGGTAAGTAGTAAATACACATGGCTTAAATGTAACACATTTTAAAAGTAAAGGTTCCCCTTGCACATATGTGCTAGTCATTCCTGACTCTAGGGGGCGGTGCTCATCTCTGTTTCAAAGCCAAAAGACACATCACTGTCCAAAGATGTTTCTGTGGTCATGTGACCAGCATGACTAAACACCAAAGGAACACGGAACGCTGTTACCTTTCCACCAAAGGTGGTCCCTATTTTTTCTACTTGCATTTTTACATGCTTTCGAACTGCTAGGTTGGCAGAAGCTGGGACAAGTAATGGGAGCTCACTACATTAGGTGGTGCTAGGGATTTGAACTGCTGACCTTTTAGATCGACAAGCTCAGCATTTTAGTCACTGAGCCACCGTGTCCCTGATCCTTGGCAGTTCTTAAAAGTAGATAAATACAACCTTAGATGAACAACAACATCATATGACATGGCTTTTCCATTTTGGTTTTCTTTTTGTAAAATAAATGATGACATGGTGTAATATGTCATGTCTTTTTCATCTGAATAGGTTGTATTTACCTACTTTTAAGCCCTGATAAGGACCAGATGAGTTTTACTGTGCCCTGATATGTAAAATCATAGAACTCAAAGAGGGTATAAATATTTTTTCACATGACTGTAATTTTTCTAGGCTTATTGCACATGTGAAGAATGTATTATTAATGATAGCCCTGATATTGATTTTAGGGCCGCATTATGATATGCATGTGATAGAGGATCTTGCCTTCGTCTATTCAAAGTGTGGCTTTGTGATGGTTTGCTCCTGTTAAAGGAGAAGATCTGCCAGTACTCCTGGATCTGGGCCAGTTTACATATTTTCAGATAGCAATGGAAGACCTTTTTTTCTTTTTTGCATCAGTTTTTGATACAAGAGCACACTTATAGCCCTTTCTAGAAATCACAGCCTGTTAATTGTCATACTTGATCATGGTAATGGACAGAATTAAGATAATTTAATTTAGGTTTTCTACCCAAGTTGCTCCCAGAGCAACCCTGCTTTTGTTGAGCAATTTGTCTCATTCGTGAAATTTGATGTAGGGTCCAAATACCACCATCTTTCTTTTTTTATTTTCACATATGTGCCTCACCCACTGTTCTCTTTCTCTCCATAGAAAATTCATTGAGGTAGGGAATATGAAAAAGCTATCAATGCCTTTTGTTTGCTGATACTAAGAGCTGTCTCTTTGAGTGTAGTCATCGCTATATTAGCATTTCTAATGTTAAAATCTCATTGCTTGCTAAGGCACATGTCTTTGTTGGCAGCTCTTTTATGGCTTTTTTATTTTTGCTTTTTTACAAATAACATTTAAATTGCATCTGCTCCTTTTGTGTAGGTGTAGATGTCATGTTTTGCTTTCAAATGATGCCAAATATATATTTCTCCTCCTGTCATGACCATTTTTCTTTTGGCTTCTATATGGAATAACTAAATTTGAAAGGAAGTTTAACTAAAAGTTTTATGAGATGAAGATAGAAAGATGTAGACCATCATCAAACTCGTGGCGACATGTTGCCATCACATGACATATCACGACATTTTTCCCAGCATAGAGCTGGGGTGGGCGTGACCTGTGAATGATGCATCCAGCCCACAGGCAGCCAGTTTGACACCCTTGAAAGACGGAAGAAAATGTTACCATCTTGGTGAAGCATGATAAGTAATAATATTGTTCAGTGAAAATTGACAGAAAACCTGGATAAGATTAATGGGTGGAATTGTATACATATTTGCTACATTTTGCTATCAGCTTGAAGACTGTAAAATTACCATATAGTAAAGTTAAAGTAAAGGGGATAAGGTTGCCTTATAGTGGAAGAAATAAGTTGACCTTAAAATATTTGCCTCTAAGTTCAGTGCTTTGAAGTTCAGTGCTTTGGATGGGGATGGCATGAGCCGAGGTGGGGCAATGGTTAGAGTGCAGCACTGCAGGCCACCTTCAGCTGACTGCTAACTGCAGCTCAGCAGTTCAAATCTCACCGGCTCAAGGTTGACTCAGCCTTCCATCCTTCCGAGGTGGGTAAAATGAGAATCCAGATTGTTGGGGGCAATATGCTGCCTCTGTAAACCGCTTAGAGAGGGCTGTAAAAAGCACTATAAAGCAGTAGATAAGTCTAAATGTTATTGCTATTGCTATGACCATCCTTCTTTATCCTATGCAGGGAAGATGAGAAGGCCTTTGCACCAGGAGGAATATGTCCAAGACTATTTGTTAGAAGAAAGTTCAATAGGACTACATTTCTGCAGGATCACTTGGAAGATTCCATTGCATTTTGATAATGAGGTCTACATCAATGTCCATTATAACATTTAGACTTATCTACTGCTTTATACAGCCCTCTCTAAGCGGTTTACAGAGGCAGCATATTGCCCCCAACAATCTGGATTCTCATTTTACCCACCTCGGAAGGATGGAAGGCTGAGTCAACCTTGAGCCGGTGAGATTTGAACTGCTGAGCTGCAGTTAGCAGTCAGCTGAAGGTGGCCTGCAGTGCTGCACTCTAACCATTGCCCCACCTCGGCTCA